AGTACAGCTAGATGGTGCCCGGCTACCATCACAGACTGCTCTGACCGGGATCACAATAGTGGGTCCTGGACAGAGCTGGGAAAGGATGTAGAACAAAATTCTGTAACTCACAAAAAAAAGACCAGATTTACTGGCCTGACAGACTGGATAAACCCCGAGAGTATGGTCACTGGACACCCTTTTAGCTCAGTGGTGAAGTCACTTCCAAGGTTTACCATTCAGCCTGGGATTGGAGAGCCTCAGAAAACAATGGAACTAATGAGGCACAACAGTCCAGGGACAAAGACCAGTAGGCAGGAGGGGATGAGAAAGCTGGTGATGGGAACCCAAGCTTGAGAAGGGACGGTGTTGACATGTTGTGGGGTTGTTAACCGTTGTCATAGGGCAATATGTATACTGACTGTTTAATGAGAAACTATTTGTTCTGCAAACCTTCATCTAAGGTACAAAAAAAAAAAAGAATTATATATGTGAGATCAAATTGACAACAGCAGCTCAAAAGGTTTTATTTGAAGCCTAGGGGGCAGTGAGTTGAAGATAATGGTGATGGAATAATGTGGAAAAGGATAGTGAGAATAGCAGCACAACTGGAAGAATATAATCGATGTCACTGAATTGTACATGTAGAAACTTTTGAAATGGTGTAACTTTGGCTATGTATATTTTCACCAAAAAAAAGGGTCCTCCAAGGTCGAGAAGGGAGAGTGTTGACATGTTGTGGGGTTATTAACCAGTGTCATAAAACAATATGTGTACTGACTGTTTAATGAGAAACTGTTCTGTAAACCATCTAAAGTACAATAAAAAAATATAAAAAATAATGAAATGAAATACAGTTGTTAAAGAAATGCAACTAATTTTTATAAATTATTTTTGAATCCAGCAACTTAACTAAATTCTTATTCATATTGATTTATCCATGGATTGTTTTGTGTTTTCTACATAGACATGTGATTAGTAAATAATGATAGTTTTGTTTCTTACTTTACAGTTATAAACGAAAAGAAAATCAGGATATATAGTTAGAAAACGTGAGCTTGTTAGCACAATATGCATAGAAAAAACACAGGAAAAATGCACAAAAATATTAGCAGTGGCTTATTTTGGGTTAAAGAATTATGGATAAATTTTCCCTTTTTAATATATCTCTATACTTTCCAGTTTTTCCAAGATGAGTATCTACATCACTTTCATAACTAGGAAAGAAACAAAACTTAAAAATAAAAGCCAAGTCTAAAAATTTTAAGGTAAGGATGATCTAAAAATATCCCAGTAACAAAAAACAGACCTGTTGCCATTGAGTCGATTCCAACTCATAGCGACCAGTTAGAAAAAAATAATCAAGTACCTCTCATGTGCCTGCTCTTCACCCAGCTTCACCACTGCAGAGCCAGGTGGCCTCTGCTGCATAGTTATGGACTAGTATACCATGTTATATTTAAGAGAAAGACCTCTTAGATTCATGGAACATTGTTTTCCCATTAAGGCCATGTGTAGAATTGACCTGTCAATGTATAAATCAGCCTTTATTTCATTTGTTTTGAAATATAGTCAACTCTTAATTGTCCATATGGTATATTTTTTTCCTCTTTAGGGATAACTTATAGCCTTTTCCTGCTAGATTGCCTTTAACTCATACTGCTTATTTCCTAACTAATTCTCAACTGGTAGTACTCGCCCCCTTTTACAGATAATGAAATAGAAACCCCAGAGACTAAGTAAGCCCTGTTTCTATATCTCTGCTCTCATCCTCTAACCTATGGTACTTTGTCTCCATCATGACACTCATCAAAATTATCCATTTCCCAGCCTACGCTCCATAAGGTTAAGATCTTTGTCTTGTTCTCTCTGTATGCCCAGGCCTAGCACAGTAACTGACACATAGCAGATGCTCAATAAATAGCTATTGAATGTTGAATGAATTTTGAGGTAATTCACTTTCCAAAACATCATGATATCTACCAAATTAAATATTTGATTGATTGCTTTGGGGAAAATTCACAACAAAGTTTGCCTACATTTGAGTAAAAAATGAAAACAATCTCTGAGTAAAGGATACTAACGAAAAATGTTTAAAAGCAAAATTACCTTTCTGTCCACCTGTTCTGGTACAATGAATTTTTCATATGGTAAAATATGTATCCTTTTTTTTGTACTATTTTTAGAACTATTAGTATTAACAGCATTTAGGTGTTAATGGCATGCAGTTGTTAATTCAACAGTGGTATATTAAAAGAAAAGGTAGAAATAAAACTCAACAAACTAAATCAACACAATTCATAAAAATCTCTTAATTTTAATGGAGGATTTGGTGTTCTTTTTTTTTAAATATGGAACACTTAACGAATTTGCGTGTTGTCCTTACACAGGGGCCATGCTAATCTTCTCTATATCGTTCCAATTTTAGTATGTGTGCTGCCAACGCGAGCACGGATTTGGTGTTTTATAATTATGCCAGCAATAGCTTCATGTGCCTAGAACAATTTTAGATGTTTGCATGTAAGAGTATCTTTATGATAGAAATAATAATACAGTACTAAGTTACATATTTTCTAACATGTTGAATATATAGTAATCTTGGGTAGTTCAGTTGATTTTTTTAATTTGGTACATAAACCCAACATTCATTGAGGGCTTCCCGTGCTCTAGATACTGTGCAAGACCATCACTGTACAGAAATGAGGAGAACACTGCCTTAAAAAGCTTTCAATCTAGTGGTATCTTTGGACATCACATTTTATTTTCCTTTTTCTTACATTGTTTTGTTGCTAAATTTGGGGGAAGGAAGGCTTATGTGATTATATTAATTTGGCCAAGGGCTGTAGCCAAAAGCTTAATTTTTTTCCAAGTAACCTATACTAGCTATTTATATAAGTAGAATTTAATTAGACAGAGCTCTCATACCTGCAACTGCTTTCACTGAGTGTATCAGAATATTCCCCATTGTCATTTGTATTAGGTGTGGGGACCAGGGTGAGGGAGCATTATAAAGAAAGGGAAATATATTTTCTCCTCAGAATGGTGGTGGGCAATATGAAAAATAAAAACACCCAGTATCTGTTGATGCCGCACTTCAGTTTGTCTCATGGATATATACATATGTAAACAGATATACCCTTCTTTTCTTCTTGGCAGGTGTCCTTGTAGACTTGGGTCTGGAGGAAAATGGGTCAGCTCATCAGAGAGCAGAGAAATATGTTGTTCGTCTCGACAGTGAAATTCAAACCAAGTTTGAAGTTTTTATGAGAAGGGTGAAACAGAACCCGTACACTCTGTTTGTGCTAGTTCATGACAACTCCCATGTGGAACTAACGAGGTGATTGCTTCAGAGTGAGCAAATACAGTATTTTTTCTACTGCAGTAATTGTTACATAGTAATATATTTAAAAGGTGATGATCTGAAAGCTCAGGGACCTTAATATTTGACATCTTCTTACTGGTAACATTCCTACCCTTTCCTTGCTCTCTCAACGTTTAAAAACCAATTTAATGTTGATTTTATTTTAGCTATATTTTGAGTGAATTTAGAAATTCCTGCTAGAAATACTGTCTTAAGAGCATTGTGGAACTCTGCTGTTTCAGAGAATGGGTGGTGATAAGGAGGGCGAGGTTAATGAGCTGCTAGAAGAGAAATTTGCTTTCCTTCTTACAAGCTTTCCTCCTCCAGTTCTTTTTTCTTTCTCTTCTCTTTCTTCTGCTCTTACCCTTTCTCATCTTCCTTGCCTTTCTCTCTTCTCTCTTGCCTTTAACAGCAGTAGAGAGGCTGCTTGAATGATCAGACTGCTTTAATTAATAGGTGGCCTGAGAGCAGATCTGAAACCTCCAGTTTACCAGTTTAGACAAGAGAATTCCATATTTCTTCAGTGGGCTTATTAATGAAAGAACATTAAGTGTGGAAGGGTGGAGCCATTTTTGCTCCTAGATACAACTACAGTAATTAGCTGGTGGGCGGTATCTTTGCTCCTATGGCCTAAGAAGCAAATAGTCTTAGAATATTACATATTATGGTTTGTCCTCACCGTGGTGTTGTTGTTGCTAGGTGCTATTGAGTTGATTTCGATTCATAGAGACCCCATGTGACAGAGTAGAACTGTCCCATAGGGTTTTCTTGGCTGTAATCTTTACAGACGTAGATTGCCAGGTCTTCCTTTCATGGAGCCACTGGGTAGGTTCAAACCACCAACCTTTCAGTTAGCAGCTGAGTGCTTAAGTGTTTATACCACCAGGGCTCCTTCATGTAGGGAAAGGGAAATTTGGGGGCATCATAAAGCATTTATAGATTTTCTTTTCTGCAGGAGACACTAAGGTTAAGAACCTATAAGTGTTTTGGCCTGTGGTAGAAATGTCAGAATTGTAAAATCACTTGTTTAGAAGCCAAAATGTGTTTGGTACTCCATAATCTGACATCTAGAGCCATATTGTTGCTATGTGCTGTCGAGTCAGTTCCAACTCATAGTGACCCTATAGGACAGAGTAGAAATGCCTAGGTAGGTATAAATAAAATTTTGGATAACTTGTTAAATTTAGGGGAAAAAGGAAGAAATAAGTTCTGTTCAGTTATTGCTAATGTTCTCTGAGCAGAGGTAGCACATTGACCTTATATACCTCATCTTTGAAAGTCTCGGGTGATATTTCTGTGATATCCCTGAAGATACATATTGGGTCTCTGTGTACTTAATTCCCCAGGGCATCAAGATTATTTCTTTGAGGAAAAAATATGGGAATTTGAGGCTGCATGGTAACCTCGTACATCCAAATTGAACGAAACTGAAAATGATCAGAGATCTGAAAATCTCGGTCATGGATGGACAGGGTGAATCTAGCAGTCTCAAGGGAGAAATAGTGATTTTACACTGTGGGGATCCCTTCCTGCTTTGGGCCTCTCTGGGGCATAGATCATTATAACGTTGTAAGCATCATGTTTTGAAGGAGGAGCTCGCTCATTCTGGTGAGCTTTTCAAAGTAAAGTGGGTCCTTCTCAATTATTTGGAGGTATATCAAGGGTAAACTGAAAAGCGGGGAGAAAATATCCCTGAAACGGGTAAGAAGGAGCCTAAATTTTTTCTCTTCTAGTTAAAATTTCAGTTGTTCCTACTCCTGCCCCCAATGTAAAAGAGCTAGAAATATAAGAATTATATCAGTATGTACATTTGAGTGTCTGTTTCTGCGTCTAATTAGTTAAAATAGGAGGTAATAACTTGACTCTCAACATTTCTTCAGTGTCATCTCGGGCTCCTTGTCTCATGGTGAACCCAGTCATGGATTGGCTGATAGAGTCATTAATTGCAGAGAAGTCCTGGAAGCTTTCAACCTCTTGGTGCTCCAGGTGAGCTCCTTCCCATACACTCTGCAGACCCAACAGTCCCGAGTCAGCTCTAGCAATGAGGTTCACTGGATACAGCTGGACAGCACGGTGAGTCTCTCTTCTATTCTCTGATACACAGTCACATTCTCAGTTCCCCCACGGGTAGAAGCTTGTAATAAAATGTGGTCATGGCTTTGTAAACTATAGCACAACAGTTCAAAAATATAACTAACACAGTGCTTCATCTTCCAAGATTTACTTATTTATTTTTACTTATAATTTACTTATAAGTATTATAAGACTTAAAAACTATTGGGTAACATCATATAAAATTTTATTAGGTGGCTCTTTTTAAAATTCTCATGCACGTACAAAATTATTCATCCTATATAGTTTTTTTTTTTAACAAAAATGCAATATGCAATATGTCATTTGATTTCTTGACTGCTGCTTCCATGGTTGTTTACTGTGGATCCAACTAAAATGGAATCCTTGACAGTTTCAAAATTTTCTCCATTTATCGTGATGTTGCTTATTGGTCTAGTTGTGAGGATTTGTGTTTTCTTTCAGTTGAGGTGTAATCCATACTGAAGGCTGTAGTCTTTGATCTTCATCAGTAATTGCTTCAAGTCCTCTTTGCTTTCAGCAAGCAAGGTTGTGTCATCTGCATATCGCAGGTTGTTAATGAGTCTCCCTCCAATCCTGATGCCCTGTTCTTCTTCATATAGTCCAGCTTCTCAGATTATTTGCTTAGCATACAGATTGAATAAGTATGGTGAAGGGTACAACCCTGACACACACCTTTCCTGATTTTGAACCATGTAGTATCTCCTTGTTCTCTCTGAATGATTGCCTCTTGGTCTATGTACAGGTTCCACATGAGCACAAGTAAGTGTTCTGGAATTCTCATTCTTCACAATGTTATCCATAATTTGTTATGATCAACACAGTCGAATGCCTTTGCATTGTCAATAAAACACAGGTAAACATCTTTCTGATATTCTCTGCTTTCAGCCAAGATCCCATCTGAGATCAGCAATGAAATCCCTTGTTCCACATCCTCTTCTGAATCCAGCTTCCATTTCTGGCAGCTCCCTGTCGATGTACTGCTGCAACCGTTTTCGAATTATCTTCAACAAAATTTTTCTTGTGTATTATATCAATGGTATTGTTCGATAATTTCCATATTCTGTTGGATCACCTTTGTTTGGAATGGGCACAGATATGGATCTCTTCCAGTCAGTTGGCATAGACGAGTGAGCACTTCTAGCGTTGCATCCATTTGTTGAAACATCTCAATTAGTATTTCATCAATTCCTGGAGCCTTGTTTTTCACCAATGCCTTCAGTGCAGCTTGGACTTCTTCCTTCAGTATCATCAGTTCTTGATCATATGCTACCTCCTGAAATGGTTGAATGTTGACCAGTTCTTTTTGGTACAGTGACCTTGTGTATTCTTTCCATCTTCTTTTAATGCTTCCTGCATTGTCCATAGAATCCTTCAATATTGCAACTCGAGGCTTGAATTTTTTCTTCAGTTCTTTCAGCTAGAGAAATGCTGACTGTGTTCTTCCCTTTTGGTTTTCTAACTCCAGGTCTTTGCACATTTCATTATAATACTTCATCTTCTGGAGCTGCCCTTTGAAATCTGTTCAGCTCTTTTACTTCATCATTTCTTCTGTTCGCTTTAGCTATTCCATGTACAAGAGCAAGTTTCAGAGTCTCTTCTGACATCCGTT